TATTCAACGTGAGATAGTAGCCCAATCTCCTGTCACCTTACTTTGTTGTGTTTCATTGGCCAAGTTATTTGAAGAAAAATATTTATCCAAAACAAACTATTCCAGAATTCATACCCAAACCGTATCTAAAACACAAGCCTAAACATAAACCTAAACACTTCCCAATCCATAAAATCCACAAACCTACCTCCATTACTTCCTACATCCACAAATTACAATAAAAATGCCTAAAAATATGTGATATGCATATTCGTAGAGAGAAAAATTTATGTTCTACTTGTGATGAGAATTTCACTTCTCATAGGTGTGCTAACATGCAATATTTATTGTTACAAATGGATGATGATGACAATAATGAGTTGCAAACATATCCTCCTCTTGTGAATGGCGAAGCATAAGAAAACTTGAGCTTGGACCATTACTTATCTTACAATGCACTTAAATGTTTCTTAGGTTTAGGAAATATGAAATTCAGTGGTACAATTAATGGCATGACAACACGAATATTACTCAATAGTAATAACTTAGATAATTTTTTACAGCTTCGACTTGCTAATTATTAGTTACTAAAGGTTTTATGAAGCAGTTGGAAGTGTTGATTCAAGGTCACTCCCACCAATTATCAGTGTATCTCCTTCCGATCTCTGGTACGGATTTGGTCCTTAGAGCCACAAGGCTTGCCACTTTGGGTCCACACATTTCATATTATAGCCAACTTACCTTGAAATACTACAAGGACAACCAGTATAATACACTACATGGTGATCAACCATAATTACCTTGCCCTGCTCAATGTCATCATTTGAGGAGAATGAATAATACTCATGTTATAACTGAAGTTTTTACGTTGTAGTACAAGGAGGAGGATGTACCTTAAGATAAATGGCTCGATTTACTTGACAACATGGAACTAGAGTTGGTGATGTTACTGCACAATTACAAAAGCATCTTTAATGTTCCTACTGAATTACACCCTTCAAGAGTTCATAAAAATGTTATTCCTCTTATCAAGGATGTCAAGCTAGTGAAAGTGAAGCCTTATAGATATCCTCATAGTAAAAAACAACATATTAAAACTATGGTACAAGAAATGCTTACTGCAGGCATTATCGCTTCTAACACGAGTCCACTTTCTTCACCCATTATTTTGGTTAGGAAAAATGATGGAACATGGAGATTTTGTATAGATTATAAAGCTCTAAATGTCATCACTATCAAGGACAACTTTCCAATTCCCACGGTGGATGAACTAATTAAAGAGTTATATGACTTTAACTATTTTTCCAAACTTGACTTGAGATCAAGTTATCAACAAATACTAATTGTTGAGGAAGATAGATAAAAAACTACTTTTATAACTCACTAGGGATACTATGAATGACTAATTATGTCATTTGGGCTTACTAATGCCCCTACAACTTTCTAAAGCCTCATGAATGATGTTTTTAAAGATTACCCTATAAAATTTGTTTTGGTTTTCTTTGATGGCATATTGGTATATAGTCTTACTTGGAAAGAACATCTATCACACTTGGAGCTAATTCTTCAATTGCAGCAGCAACAACAGTTGTATGCCAAATCATCCAAATGTTTATTTGAACTACAACCCAGGTGGATTACCTAAGACATACAAGGAGTGAAAAAGAATGAAGATAATGTACAAACATTGTTACAATAGCCAATACTTGTTACTATTAAATAGTTGAAAGGGTTTCAAGGTTGTACCACTCAGCTTAAACAATTATGAAGCCTAAATGTCTACCCAATAATGTAATGTGGAACTCATACATAATTTTTTACACTAATTGATGCCCTTTTGGTAAAATCAAGCAACCTTTCCAATACAACAACTAATTAAACACTGAATAATTTGGGTTGGGCAGTCTATTTTGCAAACAAAGTTGCATAAGTAAGTTGAGTTATGTGTCAAGTGTCAAAGCTTCACTCATTTCTGAAATCAATTGTCATTCTGGTTAAGATATAACTATCATAAAAAATCTAAAAGAGCCAACAACTACATTCTCTTTTCCCGACTTATACTCAATTGTGAAATCATAACCAATCAACTTATGAATTTTATTAAATCTTAAGCAGTGATAGTTACACCTTTGACTGAGCTGCTTATGAAAGATAACTTTATACGGGGAGTTGAAGCAAATGAACCTTTCACCATGTTAAAAAAAGTCATTACACATGTTATAGTTTTGGCTTTACCAGGTTTTTCAGAACCGTTCATCTTAGAAACAAATGCTTCTGGAATTGGTATAGGTGTTGTTTTGAGTCAAATGCACAATCCTATTACTTATTTTTCAAAAAAATTGACAGTAATAATGCAAATACAATCAACATATGCAAGGGAATTTTTTATATCAATGGAGCCATAGATAAATTTAGACATTACTTACTTGGTTACAAGTTTATCATTATGACTGATCAACAGAGCCTAAGATCAGTTACTGGTCAAGTTGTTCATAATCCGGAACAACAAAAATGATACATAAGTTGATTGGTTATGATTTCACAATTGAGTATAAGTCAGGAAAAGAGAATGTAGTTGTTGGCTCTCTTAGATTTTTTATGATAGCTATATCTTAACCAGAATGACAATTGATTTCAGAAATAAGTGAAGCTTTAACATTTGACACATAGCTCAACACACTTATGCAACTTTGTTTGCAAAATAGATTGTCCAACCTAAATTATTCAGTGTCTAATTAGTTGTTGTATTGGAAAGGTTACTTGATTTTACCGAAAAGGCATCAATTAGTGCAAAAGATTACGTATGAGTTCCACATTACATTATTGGGTAGACACTTAGGCTTCATAATTGTTTAAGCTGAGTGATACAACCTTGAAATTAAGCACTACTTACCATCCTCAAATAGATAGGCAATTTGAGACTTTGAATAAATGCATTGAGATGTATTTAAAGTGTTTTACCTTTGAGAATCCTAATGACTAATATAAGTTGTTGCCTATGGCAAAATTTTGGTACAATTCCTCTTTTCATCGCAACACTAGCATAACTCCTTTCAAGGTTATTTATGGTAAAGAGCCACCTCCTTTAATCAAATATTCAATTAGTGATCAAGATCCTCCCCTTAGTGTACATTAGAGAGGTTATCCTCCATAAGTTGAAGATGAACTTGTAGAGTGCACATCGTATGAAGAAATATGTAGATGAAAAAAGAAAATTGTTTCAACTAGCAATTGGTGAAATTACAGTCTTATAGGCAGTCTTTAATGTATTTTTAAGAGAATTAGAAACTCAATATTAGATATTTTGAATTATTTTCGGTGATTGAGAAAATTGGTGCAGTAGCTTATAAACTTCTTTTTCCTCAGTCTACTTAAATTAATCCAATATTTCATTGTTTTTGCTTAAGTTGTGTAAAGGGATCATCCAAAGCTTTATGTACCACTACCTATTACAAAGTTTGAACTTAGACCATTTTTACAACTAGAAGTTATTCTAAAGACAAGAGTTTATTTCAAAAATCAACAAGTGCAATAATATCTCATGGGTTAGATGAGGATCAAACTACATGGAAAGATTCAGATGACTTTTCCTTATTTCACCCTTGAGGACAAGAGTTTTCTTAATGGGAAAGGTAAACAAATGTAGCAACAAAAGACAATAAAGGAGGAGAGGTCCAAACCGGAGAACATGTGACATGATTAATAAGAAAGAGATGTAATACCAATATCAAAATAAGTAACTATAAGTTAGCGGATTTTTTTTTGGGTCCAAGAATAAAATAGTATGATGTGAATTCCCATCTTCTTGGGAATCTTTCTTTCCTTTTCTACATTTCGTTTATGCCATAATTCTATTAAGATCTTTGTTTTATTAATTCAACTATTTTCTTCACCTGCCTGCACTTTACGTTCCATTATTGAAGATTGAAGTCTAACCTCCAAGTTTTTGAGTGTGTTGCTTCTCATATTATAAAATACAAGTAGTTTGATTTTTGTTTCATTTAATAAAATTTAAAGTTTTAAAAATACAGGTGATGAAAGTCACTCATTAACATGTCAAATGCATATGCATCTTACATCCGATCTAAATTAGAATAACTTAAATAACATGGCTCTTATTAACTTAGATCAAACCTGAATTTATTTGTAAAATACATTCGTTCTAATTTTTAATCTAATTTCATTCAAAAATAACCTCTCAAATTTGTACATGTTATTATTTACAACCTAATTTCATTTAAATTATTACAATAAAATATCCATCAATTTTATCCATAACTAAATTTTATAGAAGAATTCAACTAACCTCCTTTTTTAGAAAACTAATCTTCATAAAAAATCCGAGTATCCATCTTTAACGGAGTCTTCTCCTAATTACGTTTTTAATGCAGGTATTATTCACACCCAATCCATGACAAATAAGCATGAAATTACTCTTTTAATGCGATTTAATTCTCATCCCCTCACATGGTCCAAAAATTTCTCAATCTCCACTCTTTGTTTTACGTGTACCATGTTAAGATCGAACATTTATCACTTGGTCGAAAATTATAGTTATTAGTCAGAACGTAACTTTTATTTATTTATTTAAGAGTAACAATCCAAGTGTCACGATTCAACTGTGACTCGACCCAACCAACCTCCACTACAGGATAATTGATGCCCTGCCACACACCAGATAGGAAAACAGAGAATAGTTATATTTCTGTCACAATGTTGACAGTAATGTACTGATGTTCAATACATATATATCTCTTACATCATTACCAATAAGCTCAAAGCATCAATGAGCCAGAGCAAACGCTTTTAGTCACGGTGATAACAATAATCACAAAAGAAATTCTAGAACACCACATGCCCCCATCATAAACTATATGGGTGCAACTGAACTACCAACAAATGGTGTTATTCAAGAGATAATAATTATAATTCAACGACACGACACCTATTCAGGTCCAAGACAAGCTAATGCTTCGAGATATAAACAATCCAGGGGTAAGGAAACAATACAATCGAAATCTTCAAGCAACAACTTGTCCAAAGAGCTGCTTTCGAATCTGCAACAAAGAGCAAGAAACTTCATAAGAATCTAGTCGTTTGACATGAATAACCAGTTCATCATCTAAAAATAATTACATCGCTTTCCCCTTTCGTAAGAAGAAAGAAAATAAAGAAGAATGTTGGCTATCACAACTTCAACTTATCCAATGACATACCAAATTTATCATCCTAAAGAATATCCAAGGTAAACAAAATAGACAGGAAGTTGGCCAATAAAGGGTTTAAGGTATATATTTTGTTTGGAAGGAGAAAGGAAGAGTGTGGAACAATTAGCGAAAAGGATCTCCGTACCAGTCCAAAAAATACAAAGGCCAATATGGACAGGGAAGAAAGGACTTACTGAATTTGGAACTAAATCAATAGCCGTTTTTAGTTTGCTATAACTTCGATGTAATCATTAGAAAGCGTTTATTGTTGAAAGAAGTGAATAGCACTACCCAAGAAGATACCTAAATTGGGATATGAATCATAATGCTGCATACAACTTATTTGACTGAGAACTATAGATAGCTCCAAGTTACAGAGTTTTCTTTGAAGAACTTTGTCTTTTTCCTAGCTCAATAGCAAATCTTAATGGTTTCTCGTTCCCCTTAACAAAATAATTACAGTCAATTTTTATATTTATGTATAAAGTTATATCTAACTTTTGGTCTCCTTTATCTTTCTAACTTCCTATATTTTAATATTAATTTGTTATTATCTTCCTTAAGTTCATGTCAGTTTTTTGTTTCCTATTCACTAAAAGATAAGTGAATAATTTGAAGTGGTCAAGTGAGTCATACATGTGATGAAGTCTTAAAGAGGTTTACAGAATTTTGTGGTAGATATTGATAGCCTTGACTTACTTTTACATTTGAAAATATTGAAAGAAATATCAGTAAATATGAATTAGTATCTTACTAGAAGTATTAAATAATACCAAAAGATTAGAACTTCTTCCCAAATACATATTACTCATAAAATATTACTGATAATACTGTAATTGTTTGCTACTATTGAATGAAGCTTGTCAAAACTAACATTGCTAACACCCTATTTTAGATCAATGACGTAATAGATTATGTTACATGAATTACATTACCTATTGAAAAATGACATAATTACTTGATTAATAAAAATTGTATAAAGAGCTTAGAAATTTTGAAGAATAAACTGAGAATTAAAGCAGGCCTCAAACATTAATGATGCCTAAACCCCCAAAATTTCCGAACCCAGCTCTGCTGCTTTTCATACTATTCATTCCATTACTTGTCCTAGTTGCCAATCAGAGTGTATGATTTGCTTGAAGTATTTTTATTTCAATGTCAAAGTTTCAATATCTCAAAAATAACCCACCTTTCTACTTGGAAATAATATGCATAAACAGTTCAGCAGTAAATATCTAGCAAAAGAGGATGCAAATCAGAATAAGAATTAATATGCATAAAAAATTTACCTCAGGGAGCTTTTTACGGAACACTACATCAAGTCGTGCATCAAGAGTATTTTCACACACAATCTTTCCATCACGAGAAGCCAGCACCACCCCACCAGAACTGAATATCAACAAAAATAATCAGGTGTGCTACAACTGAGATTAAATATCAAAGCAGCTAATACGATTTTAGGAAAGTTCCTCAATTGTTCTGGGTAAGAATTACTATGCACAGAAGATTTGCAATTGATAGTTTTCTCAGAAGCCAATGTTGAATTATAATTAACCAGGAGGAAAAAGTAAAGCATAGGGTAAGAAAGCAAATCCTTGATTGGCAGGGCCAAACAGTAAGTTAAGATTTAATTGTAACATGAACTTTACCAGTAGATATCATGGGGATTGTGATGACTGGGTCCAGGTGGAAGATAGACTTGGTTGTCAACAATGATCTCTGGGGGTTCAACATTTGCTTTACCAGCATACTCCTGTCCAGCAGAATCCAGCACATGCTCTACCAAGTGAAGGTCATCTTTCCGACATCTCAGTAAGACAGAAGGTTCTTTCAGTCTTAGCAAACACTGCAACACACAGCCCTTACATTATATTCCAATTCCACATACTGGCGCTTAGAAGGTAGTCTACAATAAACAGTAGTCTAGCAGAATATATCATTACAAAGGATTAAAAAGGTCTTGTTGACCAGGGAAAGAGGGAGTGGTAAAAGGATGGGGCAGGAATTGAACCCATGCTATTAAACACAACATGGAGACCAAGGTTGGTTCCCATGTCAGGAAATAGTTATGATTCAAATGTACCCAAGCACTGCAGAAATTCATTCTCATAAGCTAGCTATTACGGGAGAGAACTGATCACTTAAATACTCCACCACCGAGCATTCCATAGCACTCAATGTGAGATCTAGGCGTCCCATACTGTAAGGGATCAATAAAAGAACTCAGAGAATAACAACACAAATGAGATAATTCCAATATTATTACTCAAAAAGTATCAGAAATATAGTAGGGTTAACAATCCTATCGCCACAGAGCAAGCTCCTTACAAGGAATACAACGTTCCTGTCTTCCCTACCCCTCCCTTACCTCTTATTTTCCTTCCTTATATTCTCGTATCCCTCTCACTCCTTAACTGATTCTGTCACATATTTTGCCACCTCGGCACTACTTTTCACACCCTTTTTTTTCTCCTTTCATACACCCTCCAAACATTGGGCTCACTACCAGTGTCTAGGCCCACATCCCTTGCCCTATCACATAATGCTTAAGTTCGTATCATAGCACTGCCTCAAAGAAAAGCAACTTCCATTCTACAACACTTCATTAGGTGACACTTCACTCAACTTCCTTGTTGGTCAGGACCCTCCATATGTAGCTTTTTCCAAGACAACAACAACCAGCTCTGATACTAATTGATGAGTACTCAAGCACTTAGGGAACCTATCCTCAAAAAATAGCTATTAAGAAAGGAGAACCAAACACTTAAATACTCCACTGAGCACCTCATAATACCCAAGTTCCAATCACAAAACAGTCAATGGTGTTGATACAATGGTGTCTAGATAATAGCAATTTGCAATGAAAATATTGGTTATAGATACAATGCTGAGTGGGACACAATAAATAAATAACATTAACAACATGTGCAAAGCTCTAACCAAAGAAATGGAAACAACAATCTCATATCAATACGTAGCAAAACAGCAAAAAATCAAATTATCAAACTATAAGCAGGCGTACCATATAGAAACTTTAACTGACCTGAATAATGAGATCTTTCAGAAGGTTTCTGTACACATGGTCATGATGAGACAAAGTCAAATGATGATGATGACTCACACTCAAAAGTTCCTTGGAAGCAGCTTCTTTCATGGAACTGATCACGTCATCCTGAGCTTGAAGAACTTTAATTCGAGAAGCATTCAGCTGCATCGAGTACTCACTGCAACAAACAATCAATTGTCCCTCAAAACATAAACTATCTCAGGCAGCATTGTGTTAACGACTTTGAACCACAAGACTGTTTTAACCCAGCTCTGTATTTCACAAATACGTCTCTGAAACTAACTCCTCGCTCTCATTCATCAAACTTCGACAATATCCTTGAGTTCAAGTAATTTGCCACAGATGTCAACAGCTTGAAAGAAATTGAACATCAAACCGAACTATTCAAACCCAAACTAAGTAAAAAAACAAAAGGGACTAAACTAAATCTACAGCAATATTTTCCAAATGCAAAAGTTCAAAATGGGGCTACCTTAATTATTGATTTTACTGAATAGTACGACAAGGCCACAAGGATCCGGTAGGATATATCATAAGTGACCTTAATTGCATGCATTCGGGAATTCAGCAACTCAAAACCGTTCGATAAAGATCTGACAGATCCTATTGTAGTACTTAAGACACTCGTTCTGAATCACAGTAATTCAATTATAAATACACTGAATAAGTGATTGAATGAAAAAATAACTGCACTGAATCCGGTGGCATAAGAAATCAAACTTTAGCGGTATCGGTGATCACAGACAATTAACATTGCGGCATTATCACACGCAAGGATCAAGATCTAAGGGAGTTGGACTTGGTCTCCAGAATTTAATTTCAAATAATGTCAACGGACGATAAATCCTAATGAATTTCGAACTCACAGAGACAAAATCAACATAAAAAGAGGATAGAAAGGTATATAGGAAGTTACATCTTCTTGCGAATTTCGACTTGGCGTTCTTTGCGTTCGTACTCTTGCCTGATCTTCTTCTTTTCGGCTTCCACCAACTGCAGCTTCTCGATATTGAATTCCTGCAGAAGGAAAAAGACGATTCGGTTTGAGGGCATGGATTGGAAAGCGGAGGATAAAACGGTGAAATGAAGAGATACCTCTTCGGCGGAGACAGAGATCTCGTTGGCTTTTTCCTCTGCTTCCTGGCGGATGAACCGCACCATCTGCTGGATTTGCCTAGAGACATCTGCGTCGTTCATTTTCGGAGACGATACACCGGAAACCTCTTCGATGATTGAACTTGATACGGATCGCTGCCCCACTGCTACAACCCACACACCAGCTCACCTCTTACTTATGCACCTTCATTTTGGCAATTTAAAATACATAATTTAGTTTACGCGTGGATTTTTCTTTTTAGAAAAAAAGAGAGGATATATAACCTTTTAAAAACAATTTTACATCTTAAAATGAAAAAAGAATAAATAAAAAATTTAAATTTATTAATTTTATAATAATTAGTTTTACAAAATAAAAATGTTATAAATCCAATCGATCTATCCATTTTACTCGTCCTAAATATATTAAATTAAGTTATATGACTACAACTATTCATTCACGTGATTTACCTCGTTGTGGCTTAGTAATGTATTATTTCATTAAATTCAAATCTTATGAATAAAAGAAATATAATTAAAAAAAAAGATTTGACTAAAAACAGCTATTGTTTTTAGCAAAAATAAATCATTAGCGAAATCAATAAAAAAAATTTCGTACCAATTATATTTTATTTAAAAATATCCATATAACTCAATCCATCAAAATCAGAAACTTAATTCGTCAGTCACTGGTTGGATTAATTTGCTAGATTATGATTTGTTTTCTCCAATTCAAAATAATTTAACATAGCTTATTTGTAGTTATTGTGCCATTTATTTCATAATGTGTTTTTCAATTGAGTTGTTTCTTAGTTTAGTATTTTGTATATTATTCTGAGTTGTTAATCACACTAAAAAGATTACATGATAAACTATATCAGACTAGAATAATCCCCCATACATTTGTACACTATTTATACTAAAGTGAATATTCACTTCACTATAATTTTACCACAATTTTTTTAAGAAGATTTATGGAAACATATATCTTCTAACATTTATAGACTCCTTACACAGTAGAATTCGACAGAAACATTCTTTCCCATCTTATTTATTGCATCTTACATACAACTAAATAAAAGGAAATGTTTCCTTACAATACATACATCCATCTTACACACCCATTACACTAATATATAATATTATTTAATGAAAAATAATATTTTAACCACCCAAATTCATACCACTCTTATAAATAACACTTTTTTAATATTATAATAATAATTTTATTTTATTTTTATTTTTATTAAATCATTCTATAAATTATTATATTAATAAAAATAAGTTGTTTAAATAATAACATGATTTTTGATTATCAAAATATAACCACACTTGTATAATAAGGCTGTATCGGTTGTCAAAATTTCACGGCTACACAATTCCTTCTCACCGTCATTACCTTCGCTTCACAGCCATGACCAACACCCTCCCAACCATCATCACCCTTGCTTGGCAAACTATAGATGATACTCTACCACCATTAACGTTTGCGCTTGACCGTAATGGTGGACAACATCTCATAACACTCTGCCATAATGTTGACAGTAATGTTCAATGCGGCAATGAGCCAGAGCAATTACTTAATGTTCAGAGAAGAATGGCACGGTAGGAATAAGTCAAAGGCAAGTTTTTTGCTCCAGAATACAAATATTCCAGGGGCAACGAAACAATACAAGCAAAATCTTCAAGCAACAACTTGTCCAAAGAGCTGCTTTCGGATCTGCAACGACAAACAAGAAATTTCATAAGAATCTAGTCGTTAGACATGACTAAGCAAATAATTAGATAAAAATAATTACCCCCTCTCCTTTCCTAATAAAACTGAAAACACAAGAAATCAACGAGTGACTATTACAACAGTTGGCCAGTAATGGATTAATAATGGCAATACTGTATATTATGTCTGGAAGGAGTAAGAAAGTAGTACGAACAACTAGTGAAAAGAATCTCTTGGACAAGTCTAGCAAATAGAAAGGTACATAAATATAAAGGGAAAAATAACATTTATTGGTTTTATAACACCAAATCAAATGCGTGAATAAAAAGTGTATATAATATTGCGGAATGAAGTGAATATTAACTACCAAAGAAAATACGCATCTTGAGAAAGGAAGTGAATTGTAAATGCTAATTGAGTGAGAACAAATGCTCCAGCTTTAAGAATTTTAATTGAAGAACTTGGTTCTTTTTCCTCGCTCAATATCCACCCTTAATCCGACATTCCTACCCGGATCCCTCCTTCCTCAACATAATAATAACTGTATTCTTAATTTTATATCTAAATTATTGTTATATGTACAAGCTTTTTCATGTATCACCCTCTTTTCTTCTATTATTAAGTACACCAGACAATGTTGTCCCTGTACGTGTCCACATTTTATTACGTAATAATAAAATTTATCACTATATACAAACAGTTACCACAAGAAACAAATAGTTACTACAACAGTAGTTACAATAAAAAATCAGTAATCGAAATACTATCATAATAAGGATAAAATTGTACAAAAAAAAATATGTACACAAAAAACAGTCAATAAAATTGGCATTGTCTTTATATTTAGCATAGATTCTAATCTAATATCTCAATCCATTAACAAATGTGTCATTATTTTTTCTCGAAAACTACTTATTTCCAATTTTTCTTAAGTACCCAAAATTCTAACGTTAATTTGTCATCATCTTGTTTTAGTTCATGATAGTCTTATGTTTCATGTTCATTTGAAGATAAGTGAATATTTGAAGCGATCACATGAGTTCTAATGTTGTTCAAAACTTTAAGAGGTTTACAAAAGTTTGTAGATATTGATAATCTTTACTTTTTTTTTTTAATTCCAAATATTGAAAGAAATAACACAAGAAATCAATGTCTTACTAGAAGAACGGAATAATATCAAAAGATTAGAATTTTCCCCAAATACATCATTTTTTACAAAAGTATATTGAAACTACTGTAATTATTTGCTACCACCGAATGAAGTTTCTTACAACTATTGCGCAGACCGACCCTATTAACGATGTTATAAGTTGTCTTACATAAATTACAAATTGTCTCTTGAAAAATGTTAGAATGACAATGCATCCCAAATATTTAAGAAGAAAATTTGAATTGATAGATTTTATGAAATCAGGGCTCAAATATAAATATGACTAAACACCAAAATTTCTGAACCCAGCCCAGCTTTTCACACATACATATATTCATTCCATTGATTGTCCTAGTCGTCCATCAGAGTGTACTATACATCTAAAGTATCTTATTTCAATGTCAAAGTTACAATATAAAGAAAATATCCGCCTTCTACTAGTTGGAAATTATAAGGGAAGTCAATATAAGTAGCAAATATCTAACCAAGAGGCTGCAAACAACAGAATAAGAATTGCTATGCACAAAATATTTACCTCTGGAAGCTTTTTACGGAACACTACATCGAGTCGTGCATCAAGAGCATTGTCACACACAATCTTTTCATCATGAGAAGCCAACACCACTCCACCCGAACTGAATATTACCAAAAATAATCAGGTGTGCAACAACAGAATTTAAAAATCAAGAGCAGCTTATATGATTTGAGGAAGCATCCTCAATCAACAACAAACACTAATAAGAAAATCAGAAGATAATGTTAATCAAGAGAAAAAAAGGTAAAGCATCGGGTAAGAGAGAAAGGATCTGAATGGTTGGGCCATACAGTTAGTTAAGATTTCATTATAACAAGAAGATTACCAATAGATATCATGATAATTGTGATGACTTGGTCTGGGTGGAAGATAGATTCGGTTGACAACAACGATCTCTGGGGGATCAACATTTGCTTTATCAGCATAATCCTATGCAGCTGAATCCAGCACATTCTCTACCAAGTGCAGGTCATCTTTCCGGCATCTCAATAAGACACAAGGTTTTTTCAGTCTTAGCAAACACTGTAACACAACCCATATATTATATGCCAACTCCACATACTCATGCATAGACGGTAGTCTATAAAATAATATAAGAATATAGCATTACAAAGGATTGAAAAAGGTCATTTAAACAAGGGAAAGAGGAAAGTATAAGAGGATGGGGCACGGACTGAACCCATGGAATTGAACACTCCACGGTAAGACCAAGGTTAGTTCCCATGTCAGCGAATAGTTTTAATTTAAAACAATCGACGATATTGATTCATCCATGCCACAAGGTTATTGCAATTTGAAATGAAAAGACTAGTTATAGTCTTATCTATTCAACGCGGTGACATCATCACAAATAATTCAAAAGTAGGTCAAAATATATAAAGAACAGCAACATTGGTTGGCTGTGTAAGACATACTAAAAAATCGAAACAACAATCTCCTTACGGCAGAACAGCAAAGTCAAATTATTAAACCATAAATAAGTGTGCCATATTCAAAATTTAACTGACCTGAACAATTAGATCTTTCAGAAGGTTTCTGTACACATGATCGTGATGATGATGACTCACGTTCAAAAGTTCCTTGGAAGCAGCTTCTTTAATGGAACTGATCACGTCATCTTGAGCTTGAAGAACTTTAATACGGGAAGCATTCAGCTGCATTGAGTACTCATGCAATAAACAGTTAATTGTGCCAAAAATTTTAAACCATCTCAACTAGCACTGTCTGCCACTCAGGAAATACAATGCAATATACCTGTATTCCACATGATGAAATAAAATACGGCTTAGAAACTAAACTCTCAATCTCACTCATCAAAATATGATAATATCCTTGAGTTCAGGTAATTTGCCACAAATGTCGACAAAATGAAAGAAACTGAACGTCAAACCAAACTAATTCAAAACCTAACTACATAAATAAATAATAAAGACTAAACTAAACCTCTACCCATAACTTGCAAATGCTGAAGTTCAGAAAGAGCAAACATTAATTATTGATTTGTCTGAAAAGTACAATACCACACAAATTCGCAGGACTATTTAATTAGTGATCCGGTTGTCTTCACTCACGCATTCCGCAATTCATAACGTTCGATGAAAACCGTACGGATCACATTTTAGTCATTATAACCCTCGTTCAAAATCTCAGCAATCCAATTCTAAATACGCTGAATAAGTGACTACGTGCAAAAATAACTAAACTGAATCCGGTTCAAATATTAATCTAGCTTTAGCGGTACCAGTAATCATAATCAATAGATGTTGCGGTATTATCACACGCAAGGATCAAGTCCTAAACGATTAGGAATCACACCAGAATTTAATTTTAAGGAACGTTAATGGACTACAAATCCTAATGAATTACAATCTCACGGAGACAATAACAACAAGAAAAGACAATAAAACGGTTTAGAGGAAGTTACATCTTGCGAATTTCGACTTGGCGCTCTTTGCGTTCGTACTCTTGTCTAATCTTCTTCTTGTCGGCTTCGACCAACTGTAACTTCTCGATATTGAATTCCTGCAGAGAGAAAAGTACGAATCGGTCAGAGAGTATGAATTGGATAAAGAGAATAAAATGGTGAAATGCAGAGATACCTCTTCGGCGGAGACAGAGATCTCGTTAGCTTTTTCCTCTGCTTCCTGGCGGATGAACCGCACCATCTGCTGGATTTGCCTAGAGACACCTGCGTCGTTCATTTTCGGAAACGATAAACCGGAAACTTACTCGATTTTTTGAAACGAATCACTGCACCACTACCACATCCCACGATCTTTTGTAAAGATAAAGTTTATAATGTGATCTTGATTGTGAACCAAACTTTTTATTTATAAATTTATACGAAAATAATACGGACTTTCTATTACCCAACCGGTTTTTGCGCAGTTCATCTCAACCTTTCAATGATCTGTTCTTTTTTTCACTAACAAACTCCTAATGAAAAAATGTCACTTATATATTAATTCAAAATAAACATTAAAGATATGTTTTTATTTTATATAAATTTAAAGATTCAGCAAAAACATGTTTCCATTTTGGTATTTTGGCTAATAATCATTCATTTTTTTCAGTCACCAGTATAGATTAACAACATTAACAATATCAATTATAAATATTATCACTCTTTAAAAACTATGTAAAGCTATCTAAATACCAATACAAACATCAAAATTCATTAGTGTAATAAAACATAATTTCAAGATAGATAAAAACATTAGCAACAAAGCATAAAATGATAAAAAATATGACTCCTAATGGGTTTTTCTCCTCGTCCTTCAATTTGTGAAACTTGTTTTGGGATAATGGTCGGATCACTATGGATGGATCCCCGCCCGACCAAAATTATACTAAGAAAACCGATTGTCAATATATCATCTCTTTATTTTGTATTGATACATTATGAGCATTATAATTTTCCCACTATAAGAGGAGCAAAAAGAAGCTTAAAGAGCACATGGGTTACATAGCTTGTGTATTTCATTTGCACGGTAAAATTGTAAAAATTGAATTTTAATTTCAGAAAAGTTCCTTGAGAATAAATTATTATATACTTTAAAGTGATGATGCACTTAGGGTCCAAATATATTATATTGTTAAATGGAGAGTGAATAGAAAGATCAAACAGGATAAGGTGAAGAAGAAGAGAGTAGGAGAGAAAGGAAGAAGAAGTGCGTGTTCAGGGTGAGCATATTGTAACGCCCACACCATCTCCCTGCACGCACGCGAGTCTTACTCATCCTTTTTGCCATATTAGGTCATCTCCAAATCTAATTACTTGTATATAGAAGCATTTAGAAAGACCTAGACTTGATTGGAAGCTTCTAGAAAACTCCAAAACTATGTAGATACTTGTAGTAGGGACATACCCTAAAACCTTGTAGAAATTTGTAGATAGGGCAAAAATCATCTGGAGTAGTGTAGAAGGTTATAGGACATGTAGGACTTTTGTGGAAGGGTCTAGAAAGTCCAAGACCCTTGTAGGATCTAGAGAGTTCCTTAGAGGAGGTGATGCCTATAAATAGAGAAGACCCCCTCATTTGCAAACCATCCAAGCCTTGAGAGCTCATTTGTACTAGAGTTTGAGTAATAGAAACATTTTCCCTTCAAGTTCTCTTTTCTCACTTTCTCTAGCCAAAGCACTTGCACACACTGAGTACGATCCCGAGTAAGGTGAGACTGACTTAGCTAGTTGTGAAGGGCGCACGAGAGGCTAATACCGCATGTAACCAAGTTCGAGAAACAAGGGTGTGACAAGTGGTATCAGAGCAACGCTCGGTACCGTGTAAGTATGGCAGGGGAGAAGGAACATGATGTGTCTAGGTCGGGTGTAAGCGAAGAGCAAACCCGAGGGAGGGAACACACCACCGGGACCAAGGACAAGAAATGTCGGGACCAAAGCCGAGCTCGCGCAAAGGTCTCGCCGTTAGACCAAGTCGTTGGGGAAATGTTCGAGAAACTCGAAAAGGGTCGAGTTTACTTTTAAAACGTTGGAGACACACATCTTGGAGGAAATCGAGTCCGCCAAAGGTGTCGTCCAAGAGGGGCTTGATGCACGAAGCTCTGTGGATGACCGCTTGGATCACCTGGAGGACCTTGTGAAAGATCTCCAAGCAAGCATCGAGGGGATGCGTGAGGATCTCCTTGTTTATAAGAAGGCGATTGCTAGTGGGGAGGCTAGCAACCCCACACCCACACCAAGGGTGGAGTGTCCGAAGCCGACAGACTATAATGGCGTAAGGGATGCTAAAGAACTTGACAACTTCTTATAGATAATGCAACAATATTTCGAGGGCATAAGTATGACGGACGAGACTACCAAGGTAAAGACTACTTCCCTTTACCTTTCTAATACTGCTATGTTATGGTGGTGCAGGAAGCACGACGATATCAAACGAGGCACGTGCCGGATAGACACATGGGAGGACTTTGTCAAAGAACTCAAGTGACAATTTTATCTGGAGAACGTGGTGTACGAGGCCCAACGAAAATTGCGGAAGCTGAAGCAGAAAGGGACCATTCGCGACTATGTCAAAGAATTCACCAAAGGATGTTTAGGGTTAGAACCTTGTAAGAAATTTAGGAATTTGAAAGAAGGTGGAAGGAAAGAATCACTCTTCCCAAGGGAGGCAACACACAAAGGATGTGACAGTCCTTTGATACAGCCAAGGGTTCTTGAATAACTCAAGAATTTAGGAGAATCACTCTCACTAAGATAAAAAAGATAAACTCTAATATTTCTGAATAAAATTTCACTTGTTATTTCTTGATAAGAATGGTTCAGCTGATATAGAAGCGTTGCCATCAGAATTACAAAAGACTCAATAAAAGAAAATAAATATTAATAATAACTCATTAATCTATGAATTGAAAATTATTTTATGGAAACAAATAAAGGCTAATAATGATCCATTAACCTAGGAATTGAAACTACTTAATGAATGATTGTATCTGAAACTGTGGCAACCAAAAGTCAATCAGCTATGCACCCCTTGATCTCCCAAAGGCTGATGACTAAATTTTCAATTGGGCCCTTATTACAACTTAAAACAAAATCAAACTAAAGCCCATTAATTGATTAATCAAAAACACAATTTGGTCAACCAACAATACTTGTTGAAGAGCTTCCTTTGTTTTCCTTGCTCTAGCCCTTATCATAGGTCATGTTCACATCATTCTCTCCCTCTTGAAAAGGATTTGTCCTCAAATCGGATTCATCATGTACATTAAAAAGAGATAAGTCTGACAAATTAAATGTAGAACAAATATTATACTCACTTTTTATGGCTAAATAGCTCTGTTTCACTTCAAGTGTTTCACTCTTCTTTTGATCACTTTTTTTCCTCTCAAGTGTTTCACTAACGCTTTCTTTCTCTCTCTTTTCTTGAAGAAGTTTTTCTTTCATTTTCTTTTTATCCTCACATACTTGCTGTGGACTCAAAGGTTTGAGCACAATCTTCTTGTCTTGGTGTATGAAAGAAATCTTATTGGTGAACCCGTTATGATTAACCCTTTTATCAAATTGCCATGGTCTCCCCAAAAGTAAATGACTGACTTCCATAGGAATAATATCACAAAGCACCTTATCATTGTATTTTCCAATGGAAATGTCCACTTCAACTTGTTGTCTCACTTGCACCTCTCCATCCTTACTAAGCCATTGGAGTTTATATGGCCTAGGATGTGGTTTGGTAGCTAAATTTAGTTTTGATACTAATCTAGCACTAGCCACATTAGTGCAACTACCTCCATCTATGATCATCATGCACACCTTGTCATTGATTAAACATCTAGTGTGAAAAATATTTTTTCTTTGGTTTTCTTCCATAGGTTTCAATTGACTATCAAGTAATCGCCTAATCATCAATAAATCTCCCTTTGGAATCTCTTCTTCCTCCTCAGTGTCTTCACTCTTTTCTCCCTCTTCAACCTCAGATTCACTTATATATTCTCCCTCTCTAAGAATCATGGTCTTTGTGTTAGGGCACTCATAAACATAGTGTCCTAGGCCTTGACACTTGAAACACTTCACATCTCTACTTTTTTTAGAGGGTTGTTCTTCATATTTTGAATGAGTCTTTGTAGGAATAGGTGTGGAACTACTAGAAGTAACAATCCCATCTTTTTTGTCTTTGTCCTTCCAACTTGAAAATCCAAAGTTGGTAGAACTCTTCTTAGTCACTTTTTTTCTTTTAAGTTGTTGCTCCACTCGAATTGCTTTATGAAGTAAATCCTCCATATCAACAAACTCCTGCAACTCAACAATATCACATATATCAATATTCAAACCACCAATAAATCGGGCCATAGTTACCTCTTCATCTTCTTCAATCTTTGCTTGAATCATGAGCATGTCCATTTCTTTGAAATACTCCTCAACCTCTTTGTTGCCTTGAGTAAGTTTTTGGAGTTTAAATTTCAAGTCCCTTGCATAACTAGCCGGCACATACCGCTTCCTCATGCTCCTTTTCATCTCAGTCCATGTATTAACCATTGGCTCTTCATTTCTATCTCTCTCCTTTTGTAGCTTGTTCCACCAAACAAGAGCATAGTCAGAAAATTCTGTTGTTGCAAGCCTCACCTTTTGGGTCTCCTCATAATTGTTGCATGAGAAAACATGCTCTATTTTCATCTCCCACTCCAAGTATGCTTCTGGATCACTTTTTCCTTTGAACGGAAGAATGTTAAGCTTGACTCCTTCAAGCCTACTTGGTCTTGTTACTCCATCATTCATTCTCCTATTTCTCCTTTCTTCTTCGTCTTCAGAATTTCTATTCTCCAACCGGTTCAATCTTTCATGGAGCTCATTGTTATGTCGTATCATTAATCTTTCCAAATGTTGTACCAATACTCTCATTTAAATTGGACTAATTCCTGCTTCTTGATTGTAATTTTCCTCTTCTGCCATCAATTTGATGTTTAAACCCTTAAACCGGAGCTCTGAATACCAAATGATATGAATCACAAGGGGTAATTTAGGATCTTTAGGGTTAGAACCTTGTAAAAAATTTAGGAATTTGAAAGAAGGTGGAAGGAAAGAATCACTCTTCCCAAGGGAGGCAACACACAAAGGATGTGACAGTCCTTTGATACAACCAAGGGTTCTTGAATTACTCAAGAATTTAGGAGAATCACTCTCACTAAGATAAAAGAGATAAACTCTAATATTTCTGAATAAAATTTCACTTGTTATTTCTTGATA